GCTTCCTCTGAATATAACAAAGATCAATATTTGGATATATATCAACATGAAATGTATTAGGTATATGCAGAGAGGTGGGGAGAGCCTGAGAATAAGACACAGGATTAATCCTGTGAATTATTCGAAAGGGGCCAATAAACCTAGGTGTAAACTTCATGCTAGGAACCTTGAGTTTAATATGGAGAGCCATATCCTGTCACCTATAGCACAAAGAAGCAGAAAAGACAAGGAAAGAACCGTGGAGGCAATGATGCATTCAGGTGGTATAATGGGAGATGGCTCTTGTTCAGCCAGTATGTCAAATTGCCTAGATAGGGCGTCAGCCTTAACACTCTTAGGACCTGGTCTGTACGTGATTATAAAGTTAAAGCGTGACAAGAACAACGACCATCTAGCTTGTGTATAAACAGCCTTTTAGCATCACCAATGTATGCTAAGTTTTTGTGATCAGTTATGATCAGAAGTGGATCCCTGGAACCTTCTAAAAGATGTCACCATTCGTTCAGAGCTAGGAGAATGGCTAACAATTCTCTGTTAACAATATCATAGTTACGCTCCTCTCATGACAACTTTCTAGAAAAGAACCCAAAGCATGCAAAGGGGTATCCTGACTCTCCATCTGATAAAGAACAGTCCCTACCCCTGTCTCAAAGGCATCTACCTTGAGTATGAAGGGTTTGCTAGTGTCAGGGTGTACCAATATGTCAGCAGAAGCAAATAATTTCTTAAGTAGCTCAAAAGCTTCTATAGACCATATATTGGTGATGGGGGCTATCATAGTAGGGAAACCTTTGATGAATCTCCTATAGTAATTTGCAAACCCAATAAACCTTTGAATGACTTTTAACCCATTGGGTACTGGCCAATGTAGAATGGTTTCTAGTTTGCGTGGGTCCATCTGAAAACCAGAGGCTGAGCTGTTATAACCCAAGAACTGAACTTCCGTCTGGTCAAACAGACATTTGTCAAAATTTGCAATACAGCCCGTTTTTTTAGCAAAGTTTGCAACACTTGTTTAACATGCCCATGATGAGTCTGGATATTGGGAGAATTAATGAGTATATCATCCAGATATACCAATACGAAAGTATAAATGTAATCTCTGAGAACATCATTAATGAGATCCTGAAATAAGGCTGGAGCATTGCATAAGCCGAAGAACGGCATGACAAGATAATCATAGTGACCATTTCTCGTGTTAAATGCAGTTCTCCATTCATGTCCCTGCTTAATCCTTACCAAATTCTAAGCACTCCTAAGGTTGAGTTTGGTAACCACCCTAGCTTTCTGGAGTCTGTCCATAAATTCTGAGATAAGGGGAATGGGATAAGCAAGCTGGACTGTGAAAAAGAAGCCCCAGGTGGTGTGCGAGCATCGGAAGTGACCACTCACGGCGAACGTAAAAGAGAGGCTAACGCTCGCGGGGCCCTGACAGTACCACCCTCCCGACGACCGCCAGGAAGGCAGGAAACCAAAGGCTTTAAGGTGAACCGAGCATGAAAGGTCCGAACAAGATGAGGGGCATTCAAATCAGAGGCAGATACCCAGGAACGCTCCTCCGGGCCGTAACCCTTCCAGTTGACTACATATTGCAGGACACCCAGAGAGACGCATGAGTCGCTTCGCCAGAGACAGCACCAACAGGACCAGGATGTCTAAAAAAGAGGGGCTTGAGAAGGGACGTATGTTAGGTATGCAAAGAGATGGAGGCAACTCCAAGGAGTAAGAGATTTTAGATTAATTCTGCACAGAACCTCATAGGGGCCAATGAACTTGGGCGCCAACTTCATGGAGGGTGTTTAGCAGCCTCTGGTGATCAGCGAACCTCTTCTGGGACTCAACTGCTTGTGAGAGAGCCGTATGGACCTGATCCCACATCTCCCGTAAAGCGGCTAGGTGCTCGTCCAAAGCAGGTATTCCCTTGTCGGAGAACACACCGGGAAGGACGCTGCGCTGCACACCATAAGCCACCTGAAAAGGACTTAAACCAGTAGAGGTATGAGAGACCGTATTCCTGGCAAACTCAGCCCATGGGAGGAGGCGGGACCAATTGTCCTGGGGTTCATTAGCAAAGCAGCGCAAGTACAGTTCCAGAGATTGATTAGCCTTTAAGCAGCCCCATTTGACTCAATGTTAGGATGAAGAAAAGGACAAGGATATTTCCATCTTGGCACAGAAGCCCCTCCAAAACCTAGAAATAAACTGAGGACCCCTGTCACAGACTATGTCTACTGGTACCCAGTGTAATCTGAATACTTCTTTTGCAAAGATCTCCGCTAACTGAACAGCTGAAGGTAGTTTCTTTAATGGGCCGAAATGGGCCATTTTGGAAAATCTGTCGGTCACCATTAGTATGACAGTATGACCCTCAGAGGGGAAAGGTCCACTATAAAATCAATGGACAAGTGTGTCCAAGGCATCTTGAGCACCGAAAGGGGCATGAGAAGACCATAGGGTTTGATGGTAGGAGATTTGGACTGCGTGCAAACCTGACATGCCTGCACATAATCCTTAACATCCTATTTAAGGGAAGACCACCAGAACTGTCTTGTTATGCTGTCATAAGTTTTTCCTGCCTGGGTGTCCCACGGTTTGTGATGTATGAAATGGTGGGGCGCACACATTGATGTCTTTTTTCCACACCCAGAGATCTGGCAAGGTGAAACGAAGGCTTAAGGCCTATCCCTCGACGACCATCACCGGACTGGAGTACATCCTGGACGGAGTTTATGGCCAAGGTGAGGCAGACCTCCTGCCGACCTACAACACTACCCCAACGAACATGGGTAGGCGCACTCTTAATAGGGAACACATGGGATGGGCAGCAGCATTGTAACCTAGCTGTATGATACAAAAAGTGTATACAAATACAAAAAGAAAAGTCCTGCGCTCACTCCCATCACTCCTGGGCGGCAGCAACGACCACAGTACACATCAGCTCCAATACATATAGTAAAAACCAAAGGAAAAAAGTTACCTGCGCTCTCTCCTTAATCCCTATGTATATTTAAACAAATGGAGGTCATTTAGTTACTCCATTAGCCATTGGAGGGAATTCCCGCCTGTCAACGTCAAGGCAGACCCCCCTAAGCGGATCCTAACACAGACCCTTTACCTTGCTTCCTTGAGCTTCTGGCAAAAAATATCTCTAATGAGACAGAAAGGGGTGTTTTTTATATACATCCCTATATACTTGTTAACCCTTACTAAGGATATGAGATTAGCCAAGTCAAGGTTAAAAATGCAATTTTAGATCTATCACTAGGGTACAAACGTGGATTCATAACCAGATGAATGTTGATCTGGTTAAGGAATCCACAACACAGCATCAGATAACCACTATAGCGCTGTGGAGGCGTCATGGGAACTGTATGAGCCGGGACATCAGCTACTGGTGCAGGGATCAAAACTGATGGAGCAGCAGCACATTCCTGTACGCCAGGTTGCAAGTGGGCAGTAAGGACTAAAATGGTCTGCAGTGCTTGGGCAAATTGGTCCATACGGTGGTCAAGACTATCCATCCTAGAATCTTGATTGGCCATCTACCGTGAAATGTCAGCAGGTTCCATATGGCCCTGTTGTAATGTCACGAGCTCTGGAACCAGACACGCTGACAGAACACAGACACAGGAATTACAGTACCGGTCCACAACAGGGCAAGGAGACATTGGAAAGGTAAGTATAAATATACTTGGGTTAACTCATTTTTGTGCACTGAGTCAGGTGACTGACTCGGGCGCCTATTTACACATGCTGCATGCAAGCGTGCAGTGTCCAAATTGCCGCCAGGGGGAGCAACCACAGGCAGCATGCGTGAGCCGGAAGCCGATGCTTGTGCAAGCTGGAGTGTGAAGAAGCCGCGAGCGGTGTGCGAGCATCAGAAGCGACCGCTCGCGGCGAGGGGCTCTGACATCAAAAGCCCATAAAAAGATTAGCATATTTGTTTTTTCATTAATTTAATGCCCAGCCCTTGAGTGTATATAAGTTGGGTATCAATGATTTGGGACATCAGTCTTGATAAAGTTTCCACATGAGACGAAACGTGTTGATTTGTTTGTCCCACTTTTAGCCTTTATTTAAAACGGTACTGTTCGCTTAAGGCAGCTGCGTGTGTTCCCCTGTTTCCACCTTGGAAAGTGGTGTTGTTAGTCTCTCGAACAATGGATTGCACTACAACACTTGGACAGATTAAGATTCAAGGTAAGGTCCGGGTGGTTGAGCTCGCTGAGGATCTTATTCATCACTGTCATCCCTGCACTTTAGGGATCTTGGTTTTCAGCAACATTTTGGACCAGTGGAGGGGCCCCCCATGTATGGATTCTTATGTGTATGTATTTAAAGTTATACAAACTATTGTGTGCATAAAAAGTATTTATAGACATCTGCTTTAATGGAAACATATTTATTGGTATATTTGTAATGCTCATTGAGGTATTGTACGTATTTTGATAATGTTAAAACAAAAATACATTTTTTTTGAAAAATAAAAATATATATAAAAAAAATACTGATTTACTTATTAAGCATAACTCGGTTCTTATAAGATTTGATAATACTACAGCGAATTTACTGCTAATAAGTTATGGGTATATTTAGAGATATTAAATACTGATATATCTTATATTCTGAACTTGGCCCCAGGAGTGCTCATATATATTATATATTAAGATTTGGTAACAGTCTTACAACTTCACTTGTTTTTTGATTTTTTTGTTTTCTTGTAGACAACATGTTTCATGTTCTCAAATGACACACTTGAAAGTGTACAGCAATTTATATTTATTTACATTTGTAAAAGTGAAAGCTCTGACTCACATAACAATTAACATCATTGTTTAAACGGATATTTGTCATTGTTGTTTCTTGTAGAGATGACTACTCAAAATTATATTGTAAAGTAAAATAAAGGGGGTGGGGAGGACTTTATGTTGAAAGAGGTGGTTTAAAATGCCCAGACTTGACTTGCTGGCAGACAAGTGAAATTACAGGAATAAACTCAGGGTTGAAGTTATTGACAATATATCAACAAAGGAGACTGGCAGAGGGAGAGAGGAATAAGACAAGTTAGCATTGACGGTATGGAATGATAGATGTATGGAGGTGATGGAACGATAGCTGTAAGGAGGTGATGGAATGATAGATGTATGGAGGTGATGGAACAATGGCTGTATGGAGGTGATGGACTGATAGATGCATGGAGGTGATGGAATGATAGACGTAGGGAGGTGATGGAATGATAGCCACATGGAGGTGATGGAATGATAGATGTACGTCAGGATACACTAATATGTCCAACACGCAGAACTTAAGTAAAAATAAAGAAAACCATAAGGCGTGTAACCGGATTTAACATATATATATATATATATATAAAAAAAAAAAAATACATGACAGGCAGAGGTCAGGAATAGAGTGTATGTAAACAGTAGGCAAGCCAAAGGTCAACGGATACAGAAGTCAAAATAGTCAAGTAACAAGCCAAAGTCAAAATACACAAGAAACAATACCATAAACGCGCGCTCAGATAACCACAATGGAAACCACGACAGGGCACTAAGAGAGGATCCAAAAAGGTTTAAATAGCCAAGGGTACTCTAGGACTGGCATTGAAGATGTAGCACAATACAGACTTATTATTATTGGGATTTATATAGCGCCAACTTATTCAGCAGTGCGTTACAATGTTATAAAAGGGGGAAGTTTAACAATAAATGAGACAGTTACAAAATCTAACAAGAACAATAGGTTGATGAGGACCCTGCTCGAAAGAGCTTACAATCTAGAGGAGCATAGTTATTGGTTAGGACAGATGTGGACAGACATAGGAGATGATGTTACCGTGCATTGTCAAAAGCAGGAAGGAACAACAGGGGTGGACTGGCATAGAGAGTCAGGTTCCATGATAGCCCAGTGAATATAAGTCTCTCGTATCCTCGTAGTGCTAATATCAGCGTCCCACCACAGGGTGACCATGGGACAGTGTGGAAATTGGATTTTGTCTACCCAAAAAATTATTTGACTCAACAAAGGGAGGGCTTCCTTAGATAGTTTTGCTCTGGAATCTGTATAGGCCAATACGGCGTAAACCCACTATGTTGCACAATAAATACTTTGGTGAATATAATTTTAAACTATCAATACTGCTGTGAGTAACTAAGCCCACATGTTAAAATATGAAACTATAATGCCAGATACAGAAAAAGAAATACCCGAGCGGTTATTCACTATAATGAGTACTGTCCGGAAATTAAAAATGAATTCGGAGAGTTTCAAATTCTGAGAATTTCAAATTGAAGGCAAAAGATGCAAAGATGGATGCATATATGGTTAGGAGAATGTTTCTAGACCTTGGTATTTACTAGAGATACATTTATTTATGTATGAGTTCTCATATAGTGTTTTATTTAAAGTGCTTTACAATATATGCAAGAACACTGGTAATCACACAGACAGGAGATATATAATTAGAAACACTGATTTAAAAAAACAAAAAAAATGAATAAGAGGACCTTGCTCGTGGGTCTTCAACCTCCTACACAAGAAGGCCCATGAGCTTAAAATCTATAGCTTATATAATGTTCAATAACTTCTAAATGTTAGGACAAATACCAAAATCATGATATACTCCAATGCTTTGTTGTGATAGGTTCACTTTACTATCTCTATAATTTTATTAAGTCAATATACCAAATACAGGCTCAGTTACTTACAAACGTCTAATCAAACATCAGGGGGTTTATTCAATAAGCACAAAATCACAGTGGGTTGGAAACCAAAGTGCCAAAATGAGGCAACAATAGCCAAATTAATTCTCTAAGTGAACTATATTTACAACTTTTTAACTCCCACTCTAGTGAATAAACCGGTCAGGCTTTTTAACTAATGTGTATACGTATATGTAGCGGAGATGCAATATTCCCCAGGTTATCTCCGCTTATAATCCAAGTGAGGCTCAGGAACAAGTAAATAGTAAATCCACAGGCAAGGTTTCCAGCAGGTAAAACAACAGCAATATCCCCACAGCAATCCCAATAACTGGACGACACACAGTTTCAGGAGCAGAACTGAAATCTTTTAATCCACAGTCTCCTTATAAAGCATGCTCCCATGCAAGGGAGGGATTTACAATCATTAGTACAGTAGCCAATCCTGTCCTGGTAACCTCCCACACATCTCCTCCCCTCAGCCAGCATCATAATCCCCTTATCCAGTCTAGCAATTCCCCCCGTTTCTGGATGTACCCCTAAACGTAGGGGTACCCCTTTAAATCCTACATCCCCTGATAGCCCTGATCTGGGTGAACAACATATCCAAAAATCACCCAGATCAGACCAGGGGTTCGGGAAATTTATGGAGGGAATAAAATGACCGACCGCACTGACTGAAATAGCCGAATGTGGTTCCATGCGAATGGGCCCTGCGGTCGGTCCTGGAATAAGGGAACAAACTGCACGAAAGCCTCTAGCTATAGAGGCTAGGGAGGGTTCGCCTGAATCCCCTCGTTCGGTTCTTTCTATCTACCGAACGAGGGGCCGTTCGGTAGTTAGGAACCGAACGGACCGGGCTTGTGGAGGTTTCAGCGGTGTTCGCCTAGTCGAGTGTCCGATTTGAGTTCCAGACACTCGACGGCAAAACACCGCTGTTCGGGAGTTTTAAAATGGCTGCCGCCACGTGTTCGTTTGTCGAATGGCGGCCACCCCCGAGAACAAAGGACGGCTACTTAACTTGTCAATTACCCGTTCGCAACAATGTTGCAACGGGTAATTGAGGACACACTTAACACAGGGGAGGTCTGATTGTTCGGTAGTTTCATTCCCTTAGTTTATTCGAATGATTCTACCGAACAATCAGAGGAATACAATTCTTTTAAACACATATAAAACTAGCAAATCACACGAATGCAGTTATTCACAATACATTTGCAGGACAGCCCAGTGCCATCCGCTACAGTATATTCTTTCCAATTAGAATTCTTCTTTTTCAATCACTTTCTGTTGATCCATATCTTGCCCTTTTGTACATTAGACTCATGTTGACATTTTTAACGGTTTTCATTTTCTTATACAGTTTCCACACAGATGTCTTGTTTATCTAGTATACTGTGTATTGTACAATGTGTAAGATATTTGATTTGTTTGAGCTATGACTCTTACGTTTTTTTGATATCAATAAACATTGATTCAAAAAAAAAAAAAATAGACTCTTGGGTCACAAATACAAAAGTACAAAATAAAATGTCAACACTATGAGTTAACCACCAGTAGAGTTTACCATGTGACCAAAAGCCTTAAAACACAAGTGCAGATCAGAACAGCAATTACCACTATTAGCAGTCTCAGATCAACAGATAATACTGTTGGAAAGAAATTAAAAAAAAAAAAAAAAGCAGTCAGTATGATAGTGTTGCCCCTGAAAAAAAGCAGACACGAAGGGGCATAGTGTCATAAATATCATGTTTTTCAAATAACATATGTAATGAGAATCTAATACTGAGGCTCATTTCTAAGACTCATGTTCAAGCACAGTGCACTATGGGGCAATGTAAACAGGTTACCGCCCTCCTCCGTTCATTAACTCTCGTCAATGTCAGTGAATTGGAAGTAATCTGTTCTCATAAGGATATCATAACTGGAAAAGTTACCCTAGACTCTGTACCTCTCCAAGCTCATATTCTACGTACCTCTCCAACTCATCCAGTTACTCGGTTTTGACAAAATGAGTGTAGCATGCACGAATCAGAATCAGTCCCACACGGATCCTAACACACCCTGTGCAGTTCTAAAATTAAAAGCTAAGCTTACTCTCCTGGCAAAGTGCATGATGGCAGAGCCCCTTAGTTTAGTTTTAGTCGACTAAATCTCAAAAAATGTAGTCTACTAAAATTTGAATAAAATTGTTAGTCGACACAATTTACACTGAATGCATAGATATAAGTGAGACCAAAGGCTCAAATCATTCTCTAAGGCTTGTAAGCTCTATTCTGGCATTGAAACTGTGTGGTATTAAATGTTTTCAAAGAAAACTCAAGAACATTTCCTGATGGGAGACCCTGATCGCATGATCTCCTGAAAGAGCGATTGCTAGATTTTATTTAATAACATTGCCCACGTGCTCTCTCAATATTAAAACTAATGTTAGGGAAGCATTTACTGAATGGCAATTATGTGTACTACAACTGTATAATACTTCATATGTTGCTCAGCTATTTCGTGTGAGTACAACAATACCCCCGTATGTACCTTTGCCAGGTATATGTGGACATCTGAGGGGCACATTTCAGACGCAGCCATTCAGTTTTCTTCTAACTTAATCAAAATATTTATAGATGGAACACAATTTAAAAGTGTGAGAAATTAACCCCTTAAGGACTGAACTGTTTTTGCGATGTTGTACATTTGCGACCAGGCATATTTTTACACTTTTGTGGTGTTTGTGTTTGGCTGTAATTTTCCGCTTTCTCATTTACTGTTCCCATACAAATTATATATTGTTTTTTTTCAGGACAAAAGGGGCTTTCTTTACATACCATTATTTATATAATCTCATGTATTTTAATTTAAAAAAAATAAAAAAATATGATGAAAAATTGAAAAAAATACATGTTTTTTGACTTTTACTTGAAAAATCTTTTACTCATCTACAAAAGCGAATTAAAAAAACTGCTAAATAGATTCAAAATTTTGTCCTGAGTTTAAAAATACCCCGTGTTTACATGCTTTTTTGCTTTTTTTTGCATGTTATAGGGCTATAGGTACAAGTAGAATATTGCGGTTTCAAAACATAAATTTTTTAAATTTATCAATAGTGACATTGTAACACTATTATCTGTCATAAATCTCTGAATAACACCCCACATGTACATATTTTTTTTAAAGTAGACAACCCAGGGTATTCAATATGGGGTATGTCCAGTCTTTTTTAGTAGCCACTTAGTCGAAAACACTGGCCAAAGTAAGCATTCATATTTGTTTATGTGTGAAAAAAGTAAAAAAACTAAATTGAACGCTAATTTTGGCCAGTGTTTGTGACCAAGTGGTTACTAAAAAAGACTGGACATACCCCATTTGCAATACCTTGGGTTGTCTTCTTTGCAAATGGTATGCCATCATGGGGGTAATTCTCATTCCTGGGCTACCATACGCTCTCAAAGGCAACGTAACCAACCTGGCTATTTTCAATGTAAAAATATTTGACCCATATATTTGACCTTGTAACTTTCAAAAATGCTATAAAACCTGTACATGGGGGGTACTGTTTTACTCGGGAGACTTTGCTGAACACAAATATTAGTGTTTCAAAACTGGAAAACGTATCACAACAATTATATCATCAGTAAAAGTGCTGTTTGTGTGTGAAAAATGCAAAAAGTCACTTTCACTGACAATATCATCGCTGTGATATGTTTTACTGTTTTGAATCACTAATATTTGTGTTCAGCGAAGTCTCCCGAGTAAAACAGTACCCCCCATGTACAGGTTTTAGGGTGTCGTAGAACGTTACAAGGTAAAATACAGTGCTAGCAAATTCAATTCTCTGGAATTTCGGCCTGGGTTGGCAGGCAGGTCCCTCAAATTGCAATCAATAAAATTACTGAATTATGTAAAACTATTACATAAATACGCACGTAGAATTTAAATATATATGCATATTTATATATTTGAAGTCTACGTGTATAATTATTTATGTAATTTTGTATATGGACATATGTATATTTCGTATTATTTTTATTTATTTTTATATACATAGATATATATACAAATTCATTCTAAGTGTATTTTGATATAAATATATATATATTAATTTTAAAATACAGTTAGAATAAAATTTCATATAGATATATAATTTTTTTTAACTTTTTTATTATTTTAAACATTTTTTATTTAATTTAAATTACTTATTATTTATATTTTATAATGATATATATATACAATATATATAGTTATTATATATATTATATATATACGTGTGTAATTTAATTATAAGTGTATTTTTATATTAATATAAGTACATATTAATATAAAAATACACTTAGTATGGCACTTAGTATGGCATTATATATATGATATATAGACATATATTATATGGATATAATATATGTCTATATATCATATATACACATATATAATTATTATTTTTATTTTTAATTAACACTAACTTTATTTTTTTTTCTGATTTTACACTAGCAGGGAGACTGCCTGTCAGCACAGACAGTCCCCCTGCAGGCAGACACTAGGACACCTATTGTGACCATGTGATCGCTGTGTTAAGCGATCACATGGCCACAGGGGTCCTAATTCAGTGTGGGGAGACTGTCTGGGCTGCAGGCAGTCTCCCCACACCGGGAGCACCGCTGATCGCCGCCGGTGGAACGACGGCGATCAGGTAAGTAAATAGAACCGTTAGGACGGTTCAGGACTGTCATCGGTCCTCAAGGCAAAAATGCCGATGACGGTCCTGAACCGTCCTGGGTCGCTAAGGGGTTAAAGAGACAGTAAAAGGCACCCAGAATACAGAATACTGCAATGCTCGTGTTCCCTTAACCCTGCAATGTTTCTGAGAAACTATAATAATTACATTGCAGGGTTAAGACTGCTTCTAGTGGCCGTCAATCAGCCACTAAAGGCACTTCCTGATTCCCAGGCGACTTTGCACTGCACGAGGAACTCCACCGTCAGTTAAATCCCCATAGGAAAGCATTTAGGCAATGATTTCATACGGGGAGGGCTTAATGCGCTTGCCGGGCATGCCCTTTAGCCTCCCTATGTAGGGTGATGTCAGAAGAAGTGGAATGTTGACCCAACACTGAGGGACATTTTCCAAGTTCTGCATGGCATTTTAACTGTGAATGTTAGAATACTGTTAGCTTTTACTGCAATAAAGCACACATATTTGTATCCTGTGATGTCCCACGGGTACAACAAAACCCCTCATGTACAGGTTTTATGGTGTTTTAGGAAGTTACAAGGTCAAATAAAGAGCTTGCCAAT